AGGACAAAAATACCAAACAAAGAAAATAATACTCCATCCGTCCCATTTATATGAGTTGATTTCATTTTTCACGCTAATTAAGAAATCTTATTTAATATTATTGAAAAAGTAATTTTTGCTAAAAACTTTCCTAATTTATCATTATTTAATTATCAACAACTAGTAGTAAATTATTGTTGAAAGTAATCAAGAAATTGAATAATTTAATTTTCAATTCTCACATTCATAAATTATTTGGATGATTTCAAGAAGTAGGTATTTTATATTTGTATAATTTCAAAATTAAGTGGGAAAAGTTTATTATAACTACGCAAATTAAATAATATTATATTAGTAAACGAACAAACATTCTCAATAAAGAAACATGACTATATAATTGGGATTTAAAAAAATAAGGAAAGTCAATCTATATAAATGAGATGGAGGAAGTAGTATAAATTGTTGTAGAAGGAGCAAGTGGTGGTTATGAGAGGTTGCGATTGTGGTGGTGGGGTCAAGATCCAAATCTGCATAAATGTCAAGGTGTGTGATGGTGGAGCTATTGTGGTGGTCGAAGGAGCAAGTGGCAGGGGTTCCAATGGTGGTGGCTGAGACAGCAGTTGGGGGGTGGTTCAAAATCCAAATCGGTAATAGGTCAAATGTGTGTGGAGGTGGAGGTGGTAGGTGTTATTGTTGAACATTGTTCTTAACACTTTGGCCCAATGATGTAACCCATTTATATGGCCCAATGATGCAGCCCAATTAATGTTAAGACCAGTACAAGTTGATATAATGCAACCCAGTTGCCTCCTTTTTCATTTTGTGCATTCTCGCCTTTTACTGAAATGCAACTTTGGTTATTATTTTTGAAAGGTTGTGATGATGCCATTTGGTTCTCTCATTCTTTTCTCTCTTTGTTCTCTCTGGAAAATCTTGGTTTTCGTCTGTAATCCGTTGGTTCTAGATATTTTTGGTGAAGTCTAGTGTAGATTGTTGTGTAATTTTGGTGAATCTGTTATTGATTAAAAAATAAATTTTTTTTAGATTTACGTGTAATATTATTTTATTGGAGAATATGTGATTAAGAAGATAGAGAAAAATAAATTTTAATTTGATGGGTCAAACATGAGCTTAGTTTTATTTAATTTGAATTTGTCGCGTGAATAGGGGTAGTTGTTAGCATCGAGAAGTGCCTAGTAATAGAAAAACATGTTAATTATCTGAGTAATGTTATTTAACCCCACTGGGGTTATAACCCCAGTTTAGGTGGCTCTAAATAATAGGTTCGATGAAAGGTGAAATTAAATAACTTATTTAATTTCACATATTATTTAATACCACATTAACGCCATCTAGATTGATGTTGTAACCCCAGTGAGACTACATAGCATTACTCTAATTATCTACGTCCCAAATCTTTATTATAACTACATAGGTATTTTATATTTGTATGATTTCAAGATTAAGTGGGAAAAGTTTATTATAA